TTATGATGGTTTTGAATTCTGCTCCTGTATTGGCTATCCCTCCCAATTTGGTGTTGTCTGCAAACTTGATGATCATGCCTTCTAATCCTTCATCTAAGTCATTTATAAATATGTTGAACAGGACAGGGCTCAGGACGGAACTCGTCACTTCTTTCCAGGAGGAAGAGGAAGCATTGGTCAGCACCCTCTGGGTTCGTCCACTTAACCAATTACAGATCCACCTAACTGTAGTTTTGCCTAGCCCACATTTGACTAGTTTGTTTGCTAGAAGGTCATGTCGAAGGCCTTACTGAAATCCAGATATGCTACATTCACGGTGTTCCCTGCATCTACCCAGCTTATAACTCTTATTTAAAAAAAGATCAGATCAGTCTGTCATGACTTGCTTTTGATAAATCCATGTTGATTATTACCATTCCTTTCTAATTGTTTGCAGACCACTTCCTTAATGACCTTTTCCATGATCTTGCCTGGTATCGACATGAGGCTGACTGGACGGTAATTGTTTGGGTCATCCTTTTTTTCCTTCTTGAAGGTAGGGACCACATTTGCCCTCCTTCAATCTGCTGGGACTTGTCCCGTTCTCCAAGACCTCTCAAAGATGATTGCCAGTGGTTCCAAAATGACTTCCGTAAGTTCCTTCAATACTCTTGGATGTAGTTGATCTGGCCCTGGGGACTTGAATTCGTTTAGAGCGGCCAGCTATTCCTGAACGATTTGTTTCCCTATTGGGGGTTGGATTTCCCCTCATCCTTTGTCCACTCCATATTGCTGAGGTTGTGGACGCCTTTCTCAAGCCTGACTGAGAGTCTCCAGAGCCTAAGCCCAATACTCCACAACTAGACCGTGCTGAAGTTTTTACTCCTGCTCTAGATATATAAAGTCAGATATATAAAGAGATACATCAATCTGTCACCCCTCTGAAATAACCTGAAACTCTGTTCAAAAGTATTAATCAGGTAGTGCTGCATATGTTACACAGTCTTACTGCTCCCAATGAGTTCAGGGCTGAAGGAAAGACAAATGAAACAGAAGATAATGTACTAGATGTTGTGATAAGTCAAGGCTGGAGAACCAGCAAGGCTTGAGTTCCGATTAGCAAGCATTGCTGCAATCTCGAAATTAAATGACTCAATTTCTAGTCAGAAACCTATTGACATGGAACGACCTAATGATATTGTGGAAATGCTACTTGCTTTTCCACACTAAAAAAAAATCTCAGTCCTGCCCCACCTCACCCATACGCATATGAAGCAACGTTACAAGGCCATGGCCACTGTTTGCAAACAGGGGACTGGGGAGGGGATATGTATGTGTGGGGGTGTGAAAAGTAGCAGCTACCATTGCCTTTCTTATCTCTTTGTTACTAATAGCAAGTTAAGAGGAGCAATTTAGATTTAGAAAGCAGATACACGTCATCTTTCAGAGCATTGTTTTTCAGATGTTAAAGCAGGGGTGGGCAAAGTGTGGGATGTGTCTTTCTTGACCCTTTTGGCTCAAAAACATTGTTTTCCAAAATATACTTTTTGCTCACAAATGTTTAAGAGCAATTCTACTATGTTTTGGGGGTGGGTCATTTTAGGTCAAGAAAAGCCTTACTTAAAACATAATGTAAAAGTGTAACTGACCTCTGGATCATTTCCTGCTATAAAAATGGCCAAGAAGGCACTTGGGAGACATCTTGCAGCATAATCCATCCATCCATTCATCTTTACTTAGGTGATCCCTTGTAGCTTGAGGATGATGGTCTTCCAGATGTAGTGTCTTGGCAGTGGGTATGTAGGTGGCTGTGGAGCTTTATTCTTGATCCACATGTTCTCCCACAGTGAGGACATCAGTTTCCAGACGGAAGGCAGTCCTGGCCAGGGTTGATTTGATGTGCCTTTCTCTTGGTACATTTCTCCCTTTCGCCTTCCATTTGTGCCTCTTCAAATTCTGCAGCACTGCTAGTTACAGCTGACCTCTAGTTAGAGTGCTCAAGGGTAAGGGCTTCCCAGTTCTCAATGTCTATGCCACAGTTTTTAAGGTTGACTTTAAGCCCATTTTAAAATCTCTTTTCCTGTCCATCAATATTCCGTTCTTTGTCTTGAGTTCAGAGAAGAGTAACTGCGCTGGACTGGCCACATCCATCAATCAATCAATCCATCCTTCTTTCCATCCATTTTTCCACTCAATTTCAGACTCATTAAAACTGAAATCTTGTATACATTTCCTTAGCAAAAAGTCCCACTGAACTCAATGTACGTTATCCCCAAATAGGTCTGTCTGCATTGCAAATAATTTTGTGTTGGTCTTTCCGTTTCACCTGTCTCTTTGGGTCAGTGTAGGAATAAGCAGGGCAACAACTCTGGCCATATAACCTTCCCACATTATCTGTTGCAATCTTCAATCTATGTCCCAAATTTCAAAATAGACTCTTTTCTAAGAATACTGAAGAAAAATATTTATTTTGCTCATTAAAGAATAAACCACCACCATATCCAATAAAAAAGACAGGCAAAAGTCTTTTTATTCCAAATAATGTGTTGTCAAATGCTTTCATGGCTGAAACACTGTCATATAACACTTTGGGGGACCAAAATAAAGCACACCACAAGAAGTATATTTTATACCTGAATCAGCAAACTATGCCACTGGAATATGTATTAAACCATGTCAATCTGTTCATCTATTTTAGATGACTGGCAGGGTCTCAAGCACAAATTCAACTGGAGATATCACATATTGAACCTGTCACTCTATGTACTGTATGTAAATAAAGTGTTCTACCACTGTCCTATAATCCCTCCCTAAGGTATGATTTGAATAAATCATAAACTGATAGAGCAGTGTATGTGAGGGGGAAAGGGGACACTCAAATCCATGCTGATCACTTTCTACTGCTGTGCTATAGAGTGTCCAAACCTACTGCATTTGCTCACGGTTTGGTAACTGTATAGTGGCAGATAGGAAGGCGCTCCAATGGGTCACCACTACTGCACAGAGAATCACTGGTGACCCACTTCTCTCTTTGGAAGAACTTTAGAAGTCCTGCAGACCTAAGAAAGCTCAAAGCATTCCTGGGAATCCATCTCATCCGGCATATTCTTAAAAAAATTATTACCATCTGGCAGACGGTACAGGATGACAAAGACAAGGACAGACAGACTGAGAGATAGCTTTTATCCTAGAGCTGTAACTATATTGAACCCCATGGCTTCACATTGATGTGGCATTGGGGGCTGTGTGGTGGTGGTTGGAGTGTCGAGGGATGGGGATGTTGATTTTGTGATGTGTGTTGGGAAAAGCATTTAATTTTGTTGTACAATGTACAATGACAATAAAGTTAGTCTATTCTGTTCCCTAGGGTCTGAACTCTATAGAGTTTGAATACAATGCCAAAGCACAATTACCTTCATGATATTCCAAATAATGTGTTGTCAAATGCTTTCATGGCTGAAATCACTGGGTTCTGTGAGTTTTCCGGGTTGTATGGCCATGCTCCAGAAGCATTGTCTCCTGACAGTTTGTCTACATCTATGACAGGCATCCTTAGAGGTTGTGAGGTCTGTTGAAAACTAGGCAAGTGGGGTTTATATATCTGTGGAAAGTCCAGGGTGGGAGAAAGAACTCTTGTCTGTTTGAGGCAAGTGTGAATGTAGCAGTTAGACACCTTGATTAGCATTGAATGGTCTTGCAGATTCAAGGATTGGCTGCTTACTGCCTAGGGGAATCCTTTGTTAGGAGGTGTTAGCTGGCCCTGATTGTTTTGTCTGGAATTCTCCTGTTTTCTGAGTGTTGTTCTTTAAAATCAGGAGAGTAAATAAAAAACAACACTCCCATCCTGGACTTTTCACAGATATATAAACCCCTCTTGCCTAGTTTCCAACAGACCTCACAACCTCTGAGGCTGCCTGCCAGATGTGGGTGAAAAGTCAGGAGAGAATGATTCTGGAACATGGCCATACAGCCCGGAAAACTCACAGCAACTCAGTGATTCCAAACAGTTTTCCAGAATTATCCAAAACGTTTTTTAAATAAATACTAGACCATATGGGGCCCTTGATCCAACCTAGCCAAAACTTCTTGTTCTCTTAGAGAGATCCATTTATCAACACATTTCCAGAGATTTCTAAAGTTATTTCCTTGGCAACACTGGGTGGGGGCTGGACATTGTGGTTTAAAAACTTACTTCCCAAACTCTGTACCTTTCTTATTTTGTGCAATGTTTCCTACAACCTGTTTGTTTCACAGTCTCCCTATAGTCTAAACCAGGGGTCCTCAAACTAAGGCCCGGGGGCCAGATACGGCCCTCCAAGGTCATTTACCCGGCCCTTGCTCAGGGTCAACCTAAGTCTGAAATGACTTCAAAGCACACAACAACAACAACAACAACAACAACAACAATCCTATCTCATTAGCCAAAAGCAGGCCCACACTTCTCACTGAAATACTAATAAGTTTATAATTGTTAAAATTGTTCTTCATTTTAATTATTGTATTATTTTTAAGTGATTTTTGCACTACAAATAAGATATGTGGAGTGTGCATTGGAATTCATTTTTTTTTCAAATTATAATCCGGCCCTCCAACAGTTTGAGGGACTGTGACCTGGCCCTCTGTTTAAAAAGTTTGTGGACCCCTGGTCTAAACACTCTTGTAAAAGATAAATGTCAAATTACATCTCAGTCTTTCTGATGTGGTACGCTGGGTATTTGTAATGAACTTGTGTCCTAAGAAAAACAGAATTAAATGTTGCATCCGAACAATGAAGGAAATGATTCACTTACCCTTTCAGTAATATAGCCCACTCAATGGAATTAATTTGGTAGTAAATGATGAGTCAGCTGAAAACAAGCATTCAAGTTCCCCTTTCCAAAGGACATCAGAAGCAAAGTACTATTAGAACTAAGTGGAACTTAAATCCCCACTGACTTGAATTCTTTTGAACCTTGTTAAAAAACCATGATCCTTTTTTTTAAAAAAGAAGATTTTGGAGCCGAGAAAACAGACCAAGATCATAAAGATAATTATAATATTCTTCCCACTTCCATGTTGTAGTCTGGCAACATGAAATACTGACTCCACCATGAAAAATAACAGTGTTGTTCTTTGTATTTCGCCACATCCTCAAGTTCTAGACTTGAACTGGAAAATGGAAATCTGTTCTTTATAATTCTGTTTTCAAGCGTTTAGGAGAAATCTCATTGTAGTGCTTCTTCCGTTTGACTTTGTAAGTCAGAGCTTTGGAGTAATCAGTCAAAAGTTTCTGCCAGTAGCAAGAGATGTCCTCCATTCGCAAGTGGTCCATGATAAACTGGCGACCCCTAGAGGCAAGACAAAGAAATGCAAAATGTCAACACTTGTTTTCCAAACTCAAACAGTGTGGTACAATTGAAAAGCAGCTTCATCTTTCTAGAGAACACAGTCCCACAATGTCTTAGGATTATTTGCGGAAACACATTGAAATTAAATTGAAATACAACTCAGGTGTGTTCATAATAAGAAATATCAGTAGGACTCGCTTCCAATAAAAGAAACAAGTCATTAGCATGTTGTAAAGATTGCATGAGAAAGGTTGCATTACGGGAACCTTCCGGCAGCCTATGACATGATGCAACATAGGAAACTGCTGCATAAAGTCTACCATATCACCTGGGACTACGATTTTACAAAAACCTATCCAAAACAAAGCTTCTGTGTGAAGTTCCAGGGCAGGAAAAGTAGATGGAGGAGGCAAAATCATGGTCTACCTCAAGGCAGCGTGTTTGCACCGACCTTGTTTAACATTTTTACTAATAATCAGCCACAGCCACTACTCACAAAGAGCTTTATATATGCTAATGACCTTGGCCTAACAGCACAAGCAAAAGACTTTGAAACAGTTGAACACCAACTTACTAATGAACTGAAAGATCTCTCCAGCTACTGTAAAGATAACAATCTGAAGCCTAACCCTGCCAAGACACAAGTGTGTGCTTTCCTTCTATGCAAATCGTGAAGCCAACAGGAAACTCAAGGGTACCTGGAAAGGCCAAGAGCTTGAACACTGTCCCCAATCCTAAATATCTTGGTATCACCTTAGACCGAATGCTAACATTTAGGAAACATTGTGCGAACACCAAGCACAAAGTAGCTGCACGCAATAACATCCTGCAGAAATTTACTAATAGCACATGGGGTGCAGACCCAAAATTAATAAGAACATCAGCCCTGGCCTTGTCTTTACTCAACTGCTGAGTATGCCTGCCCCGTCTGGTTACAAATGTGCCCACGCGAAGTAGGTGAATATATGTATGAGACATGTAGAATAATCACAGGATGTCTTAAACCTACACCTTTTGATAGAATCCATAAGCTAGCTGCCCTTGCCCCCCCCCCCCAAATGTGCGACGGGAAATTGCTGCCAATTGTGAAAGAAATAAGGTTGAATATTGTTAAAGCCACCCACTGTATGGCTATCAACCTCCTCCCAGTAGACTTAAATCAAGGAAAAGTTTCATGAGAACCACCACTCCTCTAAATATTCCTCCAGCAGCAGCAGGAATATTCCTGTGGGCAGCGAAATCAGGCAATTCCAACTGGATGGTCCCCCACAAGGGTCTCCAGGGGCAAATCAAGAATGGGCAACTTGGAAGTTCCTGAATAGATTCAGGAGTGGAGATGGCAGATCAAAAGATAACCTGGCAAAATGGCACTATCTAGAAGAATCCCCCACCTTGTGCAACTGTGGAGCAGAACAAATAACTCAGCACCTGTATGTTTGCCCAAAATGCCCTGCCTCATGCACAAAGGAAGAACTGTTTAAAGCTACAGACTATGCAGTCGCTGTTGCCTGTTTTTGGTCTAAAACTATTTAGCAGTTTGTGATCCCTTTATTTTATCAGTTTTAAATTTATTTATTTATGCAATGCCTTTGACACAAAATAAAGAAATAGAAGTGTCATGTTGAAAATAAATAAAGATACTGTGGCATGAGCTCACAGGGGCTACCACCAGCTTTTATACATCTGTCCAGATCACTTTATCCCACAAGCGCCAACCCCCAAATTCAGCCACAATGAATTTGTTTATCTTTGATACTACAATGCAAATCTCTCTTATTCCAGTTTAAATAGACATAATGTTAAGGCTAGATCTGCAACTCATTTCATAAATGGTTACCATAAAAAGAGCAGAGCAAATGTCCGTGGAATTGTGTTGCTTAACATCAAAAGACTAATAAGGAGTTTACTCTAACATAGCATGCTGGTTTGGTGTACTGGTATGACTGTTGGACAAGGGCCAAAGGAGACTAGGATTTAAACCTGTGTCCATATGTCAGTGGGTCACCTTGTGCAAGCCACTTGCTCTTAACCCAGTAATTCTCAACCTGTGGTCCTTGGACCACCAGAACTAAAATATGGTCCATGGCCTCAATGTTACTACACTGTTGTAACAAGAGTGACTGGTCTTGCAAAACCCTCTTATAGTACTGAGGCTTATTAAATATGGTTTTCTGTGGACGAGCAGATGACGACTACATATGTTCTGTATCAGAAACTAGAGCTGATGTGGTCTATTCAATGCAATTTTCTGAATCAGCACCCCAAATAACCAAACCGAATCTAAAATTGACCAAAAACTGATTCGTAACCCTTTTGGTAGTAATTTTGGAGCATGGTCCCTGGTCAAAAAAAATGTTGGGAACCACTGTCTTAACCTCACTGGAAGGCAACGCCAACCCTCCTCGGAAAATAATGGTCAATACAAAAATGTGATAGGTTCCACAATAAGGTTGCCATATGTACAAAATGACTTAAAGTCTCACAATAGCAGTTCTAACAATCAAAACCTTCCAGTTCAATTTATTGTGATGTAAAATACTTTTATGATACACAGACATATTTTCATAGCTGTCACATTTTCCTAGTATGCAAAGCAAACTTTGCAACGCTTGCTTAAGATGGCAGTCTGTTCTATTTTATCAAAGCAACTATTGCCAGAGCACCATCATTTTTGTCAAATTCAGAAGTTATTCTCTTTTTAAAGCAATGCCTCTTTTCTCTGCCAACCAGGCCTCCAAGGAGAGGCACTTCAACAGTCAGAATGGCTCAGCTAAGGAGGCCCTCTGCCATTTCTCTTCGTGGCACATTGGTCCCAACAATGATACAGAAAATATCCCCCTTCAGACTTTCAAAGCATGCTGCTTACACGTAAGACGAGGTACCCTCTAAAGTTTCAAGGCCCCAAACTATGTAAGGACTTGAAAGTTAATAATACTATTGTGAACTCAGAACTGCAATATATATTGGGATATGATAAATATAGGGTTATTAATAAACAGATAATTTGTTTTGGAAAAGATTTTTTTATTGGAAACTAAATTAACTAATTACTTGTGTGGAAAAATCTGGAAGACCGGGTATAATAACTGAAGAATCTGAAGTAATTTAGATAGGAAATTAACTGTTTTGCCTCTTGTGCCATGCAATATTATTCTAATATTCCCCACCCGCAAATGCACACTGGCATGTATGAATTAGAAAGCCAGAAATATTACAGTTTATATATAGAATGCTGCTTTGTTGATAGACAAAGGAGAAGCAGTGTGATGTGGTAGTTTGAGAACTGGTCCACAGCTCCGGATACCAAGATTTGATTCTCTGCTTGGCCATGGAAAGCCCTGGGTTTGCTTGGATAAAGTCACACTCTTACTCCTGGAAATCTGTGAGATTGCCATAAGTTGGAAATAACTTGAAGGTCCACAACAACAATTTATGAATTAGCATTTTTCCATCTTTAAAGAATCTGAACAATAGCATCCCAGATTATTCTCATGGGTTTATATTCAAAAAATTTTAACTACCAAGCTATGTTCCTACCTATGATAAAAAACACAAAACTTACCGTTCTGAAATTTCTTCAGCCACATCATCATTTTCTTTCACAAACTCCAACAGCTCCCTGAAATGACATAAGCAAGTTACCACATGCTGTATCAGCATGTGGATCAGAGGATGGCTAGTCAGGTTCTCGGTGCTGCAGGACAGGTGGACAATTGGGATCAAAACAAGATGCACAAGTCTCTTTCTCTGCAGCTCTAAAACTATTTGAAGGATTTAGTAACATCCATTCTTATTACTGGATCACATTCTGAAGATCCATGATTTCAATGCTATCAGCAGCCCAAGAATGGAAACTGAAAATATTCCTCTCCACTATTTTACTGATAGTTGATTTGTCCAATTCATCTCCTGATGGACAGAGAGACTTTCACTATAAGGTTATTATTATCTGTGTCAGGAGCGACTTGAGAAACTGCAAGTCACTTCTGGTGTGAGAGAATTGGCCGTTTGAAAGGACGTTGCCCAGGGGACGCCTCGATGTTTTGATGTTTTACTATCCTGTGGGAGGCTTCGCTCATGTCCCCACATGCAGAGCTGAAGCTAACAGAGGGAGCTCATCTGCGTTCTCCCCGGATTTGAATCTCTGACCTGTCGGTCTTCAGTCCTGTTGGCACAAGGGTTTAACCCACTGCACCATCGGGGGCTCCTTTCACTATAAGGTGGTTTATTAGGGGTTGAATTGGATAAAAAAAAACCTATCAGTACAATAATGGAAAGGAATATTTTCGGTTTCCATTGCTGGGCTGAACCTAGAACATACCTGAAACCATGGATATTACAAAATGCAAGTAAATTATCTGACTTCTGGTCTCAGCACATAAAGTTGCCGTGGAGGACCTAGAGATCCCTATGTAGCTATCCTCTATGAATCTGCTAGGTCCTCCAGCATGACTCTATTGTAACTTCAGAGATAATTTATAATGTATCTGAAGGATCTAGGACATTTCTACAGGAATCATTTTCCTTTGGGCGAGGGTAAGTGAAACTGCATTCACAGGTTTCTTACTGGATTTGGAGGACCAATGTTTAGGGCACCACATTACAACCCATGGCCTGGGGTGCCTAATACTTCAAAAGTGGGCCCCACCCACATTATACCCAAGACCTATTACTATATAAAAATACTACATATATATTTCAATGCACTAACACCAGAAAATTTGAGTTACACGGCAGCATATAAATTTACACAGTGTAAGACACTGTGGCTTCCATTTCTCACCTCACATCAGAGAGATCAGATTTGACTGGGATGTAGTGAACCCAAGGTTTTAGTTGGGAGTAGAAGAATTCCTGCCAGTCTTCTCCAACATGAAATACCAGTGAGCCACACAGGAAGAGATGCTTGAAGCGGAAACTGGCTGCTACACCTCGGAAGTTGAAAAGGTATCTGAATAACAGCAATAATCAAGTTGCTATTTTAGAGTATCATGTTGCATCTGATAATCAGTGTATCTCATTTAGCACCCAAGAAAACAGATCAATAAAACTGGATGACAATTTTCTTCTTTTATGCCAGACTGAGCAGAGTATGATCCCGGGACCTCATTGGCCCAGATGTCTGTTTTTACGGCAACAACCCCTAAATCTCTCAACTAGTTTTGCAAAGCTGTCAAGAATAAACATTTTACAAATATAGATGATGGAGCAACAGCATCCCCCCGTGGCTGGATGCAAGCACAACTTCCAAAGTGCCAAAAAAGTGTCAACACAACATACCTCCTTTCTGTTCTATCTCTGTCCTGTCTATTCAAAATTGCATTGAATGTTTGTGTACGTGTACTGTGATCTGCCCTGAGTCCCCTTGGGGAGATAGGGCAGAATATAAATAAAGTGTTGTTGATGGTGTTATTATTTTCTGTGAAAGATTAACCAACTCAAAGCTTTTAAAGAATTCTATCTTTACCATATGTTGGAAATATTTCAAATATTAATGCTATTTAGTAAAGTGTTTCTTCAGTACAGTTTTAAAACCGTGAAAGTTTCCAACTGTTAAAATGAAGAAAAAAACAAGCTATCTCTTTTCCTTTTCAAAAATTTTAATTGCACTTTAGTTCTTCTTTTTTGGTGCGAGGGCTCTTGAGAAGTAGTTTCTCAAAATCATCACTTAGTTCTCTGAAATGTAAGGGAACTTGCCTGTCAAATTAAAAGAGTACAATCCATTTAGCAATAATTTTTGGACCTGTACCCAAAAATGTTTCTGTGGACTCCGAAGCACAGGGAATCAAGAGTGACCTTCTTTAATGCCCTGTCTAATTCTTCATTCCAGAAATCTACCAGGGCTTCAACAGGATCTCGTGCCAAAGCAACAGGAAACATATAGTCGAAGGCTTTCATGGCCGGAATCACTGGGTTGTTGTAGGTTTTTTCGGGCTATAGAACATGGCCATATAGCTCGAAAAAACCTACAACAACCCAACAGGAAACACTCCAAAAAGGATTTAAAAAACCATTTAGATACACCAGTATCCTGGGGATTATATTAATGGGCCCTGGGCCCACTTCTGCAGAAGCTCTGAGTTTAGTGATTAGTCTGTGACAGTGGTTCCCAACTTTTGATCCTCAAGGTGTTTCAGACTTCAGCTTCAAGAAACCAGTTAGCTTGGCTAACAGTCAGGAATTCTGGGAGCCTAAGCCCAAAATGCCTGGATATCCAAAGATCTATGACAACTAAACTGAAAAGCTCCTTCATACCAAGATCACAATCATCCTGTCCAGTGCAGGAAGGGAGGCCCAGAATATTTTAATTATGAATTTTAAACTCGCGTGCTGTGTTTTAATCCCTGTTCTTTGTATTTTAATATTCATTTTATAGAAATAAGTTTTAATATGTATATTTTATAGAAATACATTTTAGTATGTGTATTTATAGAATCTTTACAATGTGTGTTTTAATGATGCTGTAACTCACCTTGATCCATGAGGAGAGATAGGTAAGACATAAAATTATTAGTATTGTTGTTTGTATTATTATTATTATTATTATTATTATTATTATTATTATTATTATGTGGCCTGTAGAATAGGTAGATTGGTGCAGATTCATAGTCATCATTGGTGGTCATCATGTGGCTGGTATGACTGCATGGAGTGCTGTTACTTTCCTGCTAGAGCTATTGATCTATTCATATTTGCATGTTTTCGAACTGCTAGGTTGGCAGAAGCCGGGGCTAACAGCGGGAGCTCACCCCACTCCCTGGATTTGAATCACTGATCTTTTGGTCAAATAGTTCAGCAGCTCGATGCTTTAACCCGCTGTGCCACCAGTGGCTCTATAATCATCATGGAGGACATGAAATCATGAGCTGCTGCTAATGGATAAATTTTAGCATGGATATCAAAGTTCCCCAGCAAAGCACTTCAGCATCACCACTAAAACCAATGTCAACAACTCAGGAAATAAAAGACTTTTGAGCAGAACCTCTCTTCAGGAGGTCACCCACTTTGAAAAAAAAAAATGGTGGAGAATGATGGCTTGAGCAGAAGAGATTGGAACAAACAGTGGCAGGGAGGGAGAGAGATGAAGGTAGCTACAGAACGAAGATGCAGAACTGGAACTAAGCTGAAAAGGGGGACTCAATTCATAGGAAGCAATCCTACATTTTGGAGCAGCAGTGACAATTCCACAACACCCTGAAAGGTTCTTTTAAGTTTTCATACCATCTGAGTGCTTGAGAATAACAGAAAGGTTGGACACAATATATTGTTTAAAGATGTAACTAAAAATTAGAAAATTCTAAACATCCTTGAGAGAAATCTGGTTGTGTTCCAAGAATATTCTTGTCCTCTCGGAAATATTTTTATCTCATCACTCATCACTAAACTGAACTACCCATTTTTATTTGATTTTTATCAAGGAGGGTGAATTATTTCTCCTGGAAGCCTATGTTTTTCCTAAATAACTTAATGAGCCCCTTTGCAGTATTTAACAACAACAACAAAACCTTCAAAATACACAACAACAGCATGAGGTATGATGTATTTATGGGTGGTTTTAAAGTTTTATTATAGTTTAATGTATGTCTTAGGTTGTATGACGGCAATTACTAATATTAATATGGACTGGGCTTTAACACAGCAGGTTAACCACCAGCTGCAATAAATCTTGCCAATCGAAAGGTTGGCAGTTCGATGTCCGGTTCAGGGGTGAGCAGCCGACCTTCAGCCCAGCTCACTGCCCACCTAGCAGATCGAAAACAGATGTGAGTAGATAAATAGGTACAGCTTAAGTGGGGAGGTATTTTAATGGCTCCATAAGGAAATACCAGAAAAATGCCGGCAATTCGATCAAAGTAGGAATTCTGTGAACAGGGCTCTTCGGCATGGAGAATGGAGCGGCAGTATCCCTCCACTGCTGGAAACTAGCACAACCTCCAAGACACCGAAGATGGTAAAAGCCTATATACATCTATCTATGTACTGTGCCTGTCCTGTCAGTGTATAATGGCATTGAATGTTTGCTGTGCATGTGTTCTGTGATTTGACCTGACTCCCCTTCAGTGTGAGAAGGGCGGAATATAAATACTGTAACTAAATAATAAATATTTGGTTTTAAATATTTTAACATTTATTATGCATGTTTTATCTGCTGTAAGCCAGCTTGGACCCTTAAGTGGGGAAAGGCGAGGTATTAATTTCTCAAATAAATAAATAAATAAATATTATTACTATTACTAGCCATCCCCTGCCACGCATTGCTGTGGCCCAGTCTGTGTATGTGTGCATATATATATAGAGAGAGAGAGAGAGGGTGAGAGAGAGAGAGAGAGAGGTTTTGTGCATGTGTTGTAATGTTATTCTTTTTGCTTTTTAAGTCTCTTCTGCTGTGTTGTTCAGTGTTTTTATGAGTGGTGGTCACTCATTGGCCTGATAGGTGTATTGTGTCCAAATTTGGTGCCAATGTGTCCAGTGGTTTTTGAGTTCTGTTAATCCCACAAAGGAACATTACATTTTTATTTATATAGATTTGCCTCATATTTTTGTCAGTTCACACATTCCCAAGACAGTTACAGAGGGCAGAAAATGGGTAGACCAACTGCTACTGTTGACTCCAATGCATTTTATGTTGTTATGACAGCCTTGGTAAATATGATATTTGCCTGTATTACATAACTATTTGTATTTATGCTTTTAAAAGATATGCTGAATACTCTAACTAAAAAAGATTACAGAAGGATCTTACGTCTCCTTTGTGGCAGTGGACTCTATAAAAAAAGTCACCCAGCATCAAAAACTAAAAATTCAGCAGCCCCTATGGCAGTGTTCACATTTCTTCTTGGTTATAAGTAAATAAATAAGAATCCTCGCCCCCAGGGAATCAATATAAATAAGTGAACACAGTGTTAAAACACATTTATATCAACCTTAAGATATATTACAGATAAAACCCCATTAGCACCTAAGCGCTTGCATCCGTAGAGTAGGTTTCTCCTGTTTCAGGAGAAAAATTATAAGGTGCACAGTAAAAACACAAATGAGGCAGGAGCTGCTACACTGAGATAGACCTGCCTAGTTTTAAAAAATGGCTAATTTCTATTCCAGGTGTCTTTTTCCTCTTCTCAAGAGACCCTGGGGAAGTCATTAAACATACCAGCATCCCAGCATCATCGTCTATATATAGCAACAAAATCTCTCTCCGAGATACTCTAGGGAGCATGAGACAGAGTGCCTTAGGTATCGGAGGAAGCATAATCATATCAGCTACTTATTATCACTGAGTGGTGCACAGGGGATAGAGGGATTCTTTGGGATTCCTCAGATGAATTGTAATAACGTACAGAGAAATAAGCCAGACAGGATTTCATAAGAGGTGGAAGGGGAAAATAGTTCAAGGTGCCACATACTGTAGTAAAGGGAGGTGGGAAAATGGAAGTTACACACCACCAACACAGCTATCGACACCTGAGAGAGAGAGAATGTGTGTGTCTCTGAGGGAAGAGCAGATAGTGAGCCGTGTTTTGGGAATCACTCTTGACTCCTTGAATGTTTTAAAGGCGTATGTGAGGACCTTTGTTTGTTTTTAATTGTGTGTCTGATCCGCATGGGAATCAATCGCAGGATATCACAATGGATTATGAAGCTCTGGATAGGAAACAAGTCATCATTTCAACTTTCCTCCCAGTTGAGGGAGATAGCCAAGAAGGGAGAGAAGAAGAATTTAGCTTCTTGGACCACAGTCGGCAGTTTCATGAAGAGGGACATCTGGCAAGTGATGGGCTGTACTTCACAGCAGTGGCTACGAAGATTTTTCCTATTTTTTTCTGATCATTAAGGCTTTAAACAAAGCTATCAGAGGGAGGAAGTATTCTGGAGGGCAGAAGTTGATTGAATGCTGGAGATACTAGCCCAAATGTTAGAAAAAGAACTGGGAAATAATACAAAAACGTAACTGTGGAAGGAAAAAAACTAGAAATGACTCATGGATCTCTTCCAACTCTATGATTTTTTTTTCATTTCAGGAATGACTTGGGAAACTGCATGTTGCTTCTGGTGTGAGAGACTTGGCTGTCTGCTAGGACGTTGCCCAGGGGATGCCCGGATGTGTTACCATCTTGTGGGAGGCTTCTCTCATGTCCTTGCATGAGAAGCTGGAGCTGACAGAAGGGAGCTCACTCTGCTCCCCGGATTTGAACCGCCGACCTGTCGGGCAGCAGTCCTGCCAACACAAGGGTTTAATCCATTGCACAACCGGGGGCTCCTTATGAATCTATGACCTAGTCCTATGAGCAAAAACAAAACAAAACAAAAAAAACCCCAAACTATTGCAGAATTCCTTCTTCTACTACAATGCACAAGCAAAAGTCAAAGGTGATTAGTAACATTAAACAGAGATTGAATCTCAGGATATATAAGAAAAAAACGTTATTTCACAATAAGTTGGACTCAAGCTCTCTTTCACGTCAAGCTCACCAGATTATTCAAGTTCTTACTCTTCTGGGTTAACACCAAGAGTTTGAGGATAAGAGGGATTAAGCAAAAGTACTGGCACACAAGGAATTACAATGGTTTAGCAATGTGCTATAAACTTTTCAATATCCATTTCAGTGTAATAGAGACATGAAAGAGTCACAGCAGATTCTATGTGCAGTGTTCAAACCGCCATATTGCTAACCAGAAGAAAGTTAGTTTGCTCACATGAGAACTGAAGTGTTATCAAATTCAGTTTCCAATAATTTCTAATCAAAATCAATTACTTACTTGTATTTACAATGGTCTATTAGTGAAATTTCCTTAGCAGGAGGTTCCCCAAGGGTATCCTAAAAAAGAGAGATCATCTTGTAGTTTGAAATCATCTTCCTACAGACCACAACCACCAATTGCTTTCTGTAGGACACAAAGGTGACATCTGATCTGTAAGAAATCATATATACTGGTCCTTCACTTTCTTACAGGGTACTTCTAGACTTTGGCATCAAGTCCTATTGAGCTCACTTGGACTAATTTCACAGTAAATAAGCTCTACATATATGCGGTTTAGTATATGAGTGCAAAAAGGACCCCACTTCACAGTGATTATGTCTACATGAAGCTTCGTACTTCATTCAATAACAGTGGACGCATCCAATGCCCTTTCCTCACAAACAAGCTACAGCTGTGCACCATTTTCTCAGAATGCACAGCATTTCCTAGAATAAGAATGGTAATTTAGAAACTCTTCATCTTCTTGCACTTACGGCAACTAAAATGTGAATTTAACAATTGGTGTTTATGCCTCCTACACCATGAAATCCAGACGTCCCAGATCACTTTCACTTCCTCCTAAACATGCTATATTTCCTTACATATGTTGCAGACATAATAGACTGGCCGCCCAACTCTTAACCACAGAAACAAAACTGCTATGTTAGAACATAAGACATTACAAAGGCTTCCTTCTAGAGAATCCTGGATTTTGTAGTTTCATGACGTATTAAGAGGCATTTAGAATTTTATGCCAAATTGCCTTTGTGCTGTATTTGGCAGCAATGGGTTAGAGAATTGCTAGTCTCTCAACAAACTACGCACCCCACAATTCCACAATCCCACAAGACAGAATCACAGCAACGGAAATGGAAGGACCGTGCTACAATTGTTTGGGACATCCCAATTATCAAAATACAAAGGGGAGCATGCTCTTGATGAAGAACAAAATAGGTAAACATCAACCTGTAAGAATTGAAACAAATAGGATCAAGCTTTTTGGTATTTCCACAGTTGAAATTCACTGGATGATCTTGGGAAAGTCACATGTTCTCAGCCTCAGAGGAAGGAAAAGGCAACCCCCCCTCTGAACAATCTTTGCCAAAAAGCTATGTGATAGGGTCACCTTAGGATAAATCAGAAATGATATGATGCATTGGTAAACTTAAGGGAATCCAGTTTGATTCATCCATGGATCAATGTGAGTACTGTATTCCTACCTCTCACCGCCCCAATTCCTATGCATGTTTCCCAAAAGGGCTTTGTCTTTACTCTTCCTCCTTGCCACTGTCTCCTCCTCTTTGATGATGTAGGAATGGAATTCTGTAAGGGGGCTTCCTTTTCAAAGGTATTTTTATCTCCCTTGGCTGGCCATGTGGCCATTTGACATTTTTCCAGTTTCTTCTGCTTTTCTACCTACCTATGAGGATGCACATTTTGCCTTTCTTGAGGCAAAATGTAGCAGCATGGACTTTTTACCATTTTACCTCTTTAGAAGATAAGATTTACTAAGCTAGTGAGCTCCAAGACCTTTTCTATCAAGAATGTATTTCTTTAACTCCAATAAATAGTTTTGAAGTTCTGACTCTACAATCTTCTGCCATCCTGTTGAATGGAAGCTTATCCTGGCTCAGGGGGTTGGACTGGACAGCCAATGAGGTCTCTTCCAACTCTATGATTCTATGATTAATTACATGGAAGTTTTTGCTGGTTACAAAGTTTACATCTAGCTGCTATATTTATGGTGGAATCACCTCAACTGAGGGTTATTTTTTGAACCTAAAAACTCAGACTCCCCAACAGAAAGGCAAGACCTTAGTTCATCCTTAAAGAAGCACTAACCCTCTTGACTCTCTCTTCCGAGGTGCCACTTCTGGCCTTTTCGAATGCCTGGGTGGGAAGCTAGCCTCTAATGTGCCATTGATGCCTTCTACTTTCCACAGAATAACACTCAACCTAACCACAGACTACATTAAAATCCATAATTTTGCCCACAAAATCTGCCCTCAACTTATACATGGACTTATAGGAGAGCATGCATGCTATGCTACATAGCTGAACTTCTTTTGGTAATAGTGTCCTATTAAATCAGCTTCACAGACAGGCTAGGGACTACTGAACAAGACAGAGCTACCCATCAATCTATATAAATAAAAATGTAATGTTCGTTTGTGGGATTAACATAACTCAAAAACCACTGGACGAACTGACACCAAATTTGGACACAAGACACCTCTCAGGCCAACGAGTGACCATCACTCATAAAAACACTGAAAAACACAAAAGAAGAGACTTAAAAAGCCAAAAAAACAAAAAATATATTACAACGCATGCGCAAAGCCACATATATATAAACAAACGCACATATACTCAAATATATAAACACACATATATACACACACAAAACACATATACACAGACTGGGCCACAGCAATGCATGGCAGGGGATGGCTAGTTTTCAATACATATATGCCAATACTATTATCTCCTAGCAATTAAAACTTTGGAATCAAGAGCAAGTGGTGAAGTTCCTCCAGATAAGAGGTTGAAAATCTGAATTTTGTGGAGGATGCGCATCATATATACACACACATATACACCAGACAATAAGTTAGGGGATTCTGGGAGATGAAATATAAAAAGTCACTTTTCCCAAGCTCTGCTCTAACTTAACATTATTTTTCTGTCCCTCAAGTAAGAACTTTCATATTGTTGATACCAGTCTTTCAATGAACAGTAATATAAAATAGCGCAATATCCTTTTTTTTTTAAAGGAAAGACTTGGTTTAACATGAATTACTTTTTCAGACTTCCAGGCTTGGTTTTTAGTGTATTCGGCATCAACTAGTTCTGGGTTTTCTCTCGAAAGAAGGATGAGGGGATCCCGCTCGGCACTTGTCCTATGAGAAAAAGCACAGAAATATCCGATAAGAGTATTTCCTATTGTTGATTGACTTATATAACCAAACATGCAGAGAATAACAATGAAAGATCAAACATTTAAGTTAAGGAAGGAAAAAGGCAGGAAGTTGGGGTGGATCCTTTTAGGGCAAGGAGGACATCAGTGCCTTTCTTCATCACACACCAGAGATTTCCCATAGATTTTCCTGTTGTGAAGAAATATAGAGAAACTCTGTGTGATGCCACTCTTCCAGATGACTAGGATATAGCACACATATTATTTGACTGTAAATTGTATAAGAAAGTGAGAAACTTCTACCTTGGTCCATATATCAAACCGACAATGTATTGGGAATCTCACATCAGAACAACATATTTTATGTGTGGCCAAGACCCAAAAATAACATATAAAACAGCTCTGTATTTAAGCAAAACAATACATTTGAGAACCACATATGTGAGGCTGATCGGGGTAAATTGTAGGGGTGATAAGAAAATATGATGTATGTACTCAGTTTTATCATATTTTACCATATTTACTGTATTGTTATAAGTGTCTTATTTTAACTTACGACATAAGAGTGCAATCAAGTCTTATCAAGCCTTGTTTGGTTTCGTATTGTGATATGGCCCAAGGTCTAATCAATTAAAAAAATTACTACTGTAAACCACACCCCCAAAGGCGCATGCTGTGGGGACACAGGAGTGGTTACTCCCAACCTCTGGGATTTCCTCCCTAAAGAGGTTAGATTGGTGCCCTCCCTTTCGTGGGCAGATAAATTACATTATGTAACAAAATTTGAAATATTTTCTGTTCCCACTTTGAATGCGTTATTTCCTGTTTAATTGTGCGGCACTTACTTTAAAAGTCATTGTTATACTCTAGAAATTTCGTTTTTGTGGCTACCACAAACTACGTTGAATTGTTTGAGACTCTATGAGATATTCATTGAAAAACTATAGCAAAATGTGCTGCAGGATGTTCCACAAAAACAAGGTTTTTGCTGTTAAATAATTTTTTCCCATATTTTTATGATAGAACCAATTAGGAAATGAGGTACTGTTCCATTATCTGGATGGAGGCCACCAGGAGCACTAGAGAGAGGAGGATTGTCCCATTTATGGGGGTGGAGCTGAAGGAGGAAAACCATTTCCCTCATTTTCAATGGTTATGCCTCCTGCTTCCCACATCATAAAGGAGGGTTGTTTCCACAACAGGGGCATGGATGGGGGGAATAACAGGAAAATCGGGGGAAATGGTTTTCTTCCTTCAATTCCACCCCCATAAATGGGACAATCATTCCCTCTCTAGCGCCCCTGGTGGCCTCCATCCAGATAATGGAACAGTACCGGAAATGACATTATAACCCAGGAAATCATGTTGCATAGTGTTGTTGTATAGGCAACTCTTTGAAATCTGAACAATGTGCTTTTTCTTGCCTATTGATCATTTCCATTTTAAAGGCTATGTTCTGATTTTCATCTTACTGACAAACTAACTGCTTTTTAAACTTTTATATGTCGTGAAGACTTTAGCTTCATTTATTTTAATTTGTGTAGGCTCCCTTCATCCCAAACTAAAAAGGACAGTATTTAGATGATGGGGGATAGATAGTACAAGGTATGAGCCTAGACTGCTCTCTGTCTTTGGCCTGTACAATGACATAGGTATGTTGAGAAGGCATTTGATTGAGAAGAAACCTTTTTGTCATATTAAATGTTACCTTCTAAAGCAAAGTGACATGCTCAACCAAACCTAAACATTATTCTGTAAGAAGCTGGTCTTTCTGGAGAGCACAATACAGAGCTCCAATCCTATTAAGGCCTCAATTCTAACTTATTATGGTTCTAACTGACAAAAACATTAAAATACTCTGAAATGAGAACAGCTCACCTGGACCCTCGGAAAAAGGCTTTAGAAATCTTCGCCCTCCAGGGCCATTTTTCTGAAGAGCTAAGGAAATGTATATCAAGACATTTGATATTAAAACATTGATGCAGCATATCTTATAAAGGTAAAGGTTGCTCCTGACATTAAGTCTAGTCGTGTCTGACTGGGTGGTGGAGCTGATCTCCATTTCTAAGCTGAAGACCCGGCGATCTCCGTAGACACCTCCAAGGTCATGTGGCCGGCATGGCTGCATGAAGTGCCGTCACCTTCCTGCAGAAGTGGTACCTATTGATCTACTAACATTTGCTTGTTTTCGAACTGCTAGGATGGAAGAAGCTGAGCCTAACAGCAGGAGCTCACCTCGCTCCCTAGATTTGAACCACCAACCTTCCGGTCAGCAAGTTCTGCAGTTCAGCGGTTTAACTCGCTACACCACCAAGGGACCCAAGCATATTTCGTAGCACCAAAATAAAGCATTAGTCCCAGATGGGCAACCTGTGGCCCTCCAAAGGTTACTGGACTACAAACCCCAGCATGCATTTGTTACCACTGCAAATGCTGGCTAGGCCTGTTGCAACTTGAACAACTGGAGGACCACAAGATTCACAGCACTGCATTAGTTTTTTCCATTATTTTCAATGTATTATCTGCTATTTTTCTGTTTTAACTCATGATGTATTTTAACATAATGCCATTCTATTATTGGCTTTCCTAACAGTATGGTATAAATACCTGAAAGGCAGGAGATAGGTAACCATCTATCTACCGAAATAAATCAATTCCACTCTATTACTCAGAAACTATTCTTTCATTGCAGGTGAAATCATCCCAGCTAAACAAGCTCCCCATCCCAATGGTAAAAGTGCCACAGACTGTTAACAAGCTGTTTTACAATTCTATTTTTGTGTATGCAAAGAAATGCATGCACTACAGCTGTGTATTTGCTTCCTTCATCTCTGCAGCTTGAGACAATCAAGAGGAAATCGTCAGTTTCTTTCACAGTTGAGAATCAGCATATTTATTTTCATTGCAGCAGGATAAACATTTCAACAAGCAGCTTGTTAAAAGCAAAAATTCAAGCTAATCACCATGTGCAGAAGAACCAAACACATTTTAAGAAGTCCAATATTTTTCTTTGCAATATTTGGAGCTACTTCCAAAAGGTATTCACATACCTTGCACATGAATTGTGCAAAGTGACACTCACTATAACAAAAACCCAAAAGGGAGCTTTTCTAATATGTGGGAGGCCCTGACTATTCCCAATATGCAACTCTTATAGGTACACTATCCATTAAAGAACAATAGATTCCCACTTCTTCCATGCACCACTCTATTGTCCAGTCTCAGCAAAATTCTCCCAGAGCTAACTTATATATGGATTTCAACCCATTTGGCACAAAGACTGAGTCAATTCGGATGCATGTAAACATAGCTTATATCTTTCTGAAGCTGCTATGAAGTCTATATTCAGCTTCAATTTCACAAAGTACAATTACTTTTAAAATGTGCTTAATACTGAACACTTAAGACTCTATGGATTTTAGATGCAAACAAAGCTCAGTACAATAAACTCGCAGCAACCCAAAGCTCAGTATGCTTTTAAAGACCTTCATTTTGAATCAAACATACCTTTTGAGATCTTGTCTCATTAGGTCCCAGCGTCCCAGGCCGGTTGGGTAAATGGGCCAAACAGCTGGGCCTCCTTCCCAAAATGTCCAAGCAGGATACATAATGTCATAGTATTCTGATGTCTTGCAGAAAAGGAAAAGAGAGAGGTGAGATAATTATAGTGAAACTACTCAATATTGCAAAAGATTCAATGAAGAAAGACAAAACTGGCTCATTGTTTAGGATCTAGAATGACTAAGAGGATAACAACTCTTCATTCTCTCACCTTACTGAAGGAGAACACGGGCACCCTTGGCTTCATGAACTTAGGCACCTGGGGGTAGTCTCGCACATTGATTACCATCTCCATATCGGGAAGTTCATCAATGATCTCCAGGATGAAGTGTTCAACCCCACTGCATCTGCAGATGGAAACACACATGATACAATCACTCCTCAACATTTATGGAAAATAACAAAGACATCACAACCTCTGAGGATACCTGCCATAGATATGGGTGAAATGTCAGGAGAGAATGCTTCTGGGATATGGACATATAGCCCAGAAAAATCATAGCAACTCAACAATGAGAATACAATAATTATTTTATTTATTATTGTTATTGTTATTGTTATTATTACCATTAATATTATTATTACCACCGTGAGCCATTATAATGGCTCACAGTGGAGCGCAACAAAGTAAAAAACACATAAAACATAAAATATATACAATAAATTCCATAGATTAAAAACACAAAAATATAAAAACTTGCACCGAACACAGATACAGAATCAACATATAGTAACAATAGAATGTAAATCAAAACTCATGATTGAAAGTTGACTGTGTAGGCCTACTGGGAAGAGATGGACAGAGGTGCAGGATCCCCATCAAGGTGAAAAATCTGCACGTATAAGCCTACTTTGCTATTATTTGCTATTATTTGAAGAAAACATTTCTGGACAAAGTTGAACATTGTTCTGGAAGACCTAGAAAAGCCAGGGAAGTATGCACATTTAGGTCCTCCATGGTGCTTCCAATTTGGATTGCCTTTCCTTGGGGTACAACCTGATTTCCAAACCCATAGGAATGTTGTTTTTTATTGTTATTATTTTGTTGATATGCTTTTAATGTGTTATGTTTTAATTGCACTAATGGGCTTGGCCCCATGTAAGCCACTCCAAGTCCCTTCGGGGAGATGAAGGCAGGGTATAAAAATAAAACAACAACAACAACCATTATTATTATTATTATTATTATTATTATTATTATTATTATTATTATTATTATTATTATTGGAGCCCAATTCTGTCAGGTAACATGGGGATAATAATACTGATATGCTGCCCAAGAAGAACATAAGCCACCTTGGATTTTACCTTGAAAGAAAGATGAGATACAAATTCAATAAATAACATTAAAATATAAGAGTCCAAAAATAGAGCAAATCCTCCCCAATGACTTCAAAAAGTAAAACATTTAGAGTAACATTACTTGTGATATTGTGATTCACTACAAAAATTAATGTTTGAATCATTAAATACCCTATTTATGCAAATGTAATGTTTGCCTTTTCTGGCTAAATGACCTCGCCAAAATTAGGGTGACCATTAAGATTTGTGTCATACAGTCATCTTAGTGTTAACCCAAAGCCAAAAGGGAAGCTGCTTCAGGAGTTGCACCTGAAGCTCCTCTTTGAGGGATGTCACCTCTAATTTAATGGCCAAAGTTCAATGCTATGAGATCCTGGAATTTGTAGTTTGGTGAGGCACCAGCAAAGAAGGCCTTGTAAACTACAGCCCCTGTGATTCCATAGCACTAAACCAAAGCAATTATGGTGCATTCATTCTACAACATAGATACACCCCAAGGTTTTCCTTTCCATCACTGGAAGCTTTGGTGTCCTAACACTTTGGCTTTTAAAGAAGGAATTCTAAGCAGGCAGCAACTGTAATGCACAACTTTTTTGGCCAAAGAGTGCACTTTTCATCACTGCACATCAGATTAGGCAGCAAATTCTTTGTGAGACCTCACAAACTCTGAGGATGCCTGCCATAGATGCAGGTGAAACGTCAGGGGAGAATGTTTCCGGAACATGGCCATACAGCCCAAAAACTTTACAGCAACCCATTGATTCCAGCCATGATAGCCTTCGGCAAAACGCTGCTATAGACGTTTCAATATCTGTTCCAGAAAGAGTGCAGCAATAGGTGAACAAGACAGGAATGGGAGAAGACAAGAAAATAACAGGTGAGGGATCTTGTGAACACTGCTTTTCAGCAAGAACTACAAATCAGACGGAGTGCAGTCACAAGCCCCTTCTGACACCCAAACAACTCCTGTTTTAAGCAACTCCACCAGTTATCCCTTTCAATTATCCTTGTTCTCCGGAGGCATTTATTCCCAGTTTCCTTCAGCTTGTAACCCATAACACCTGCTCACACACCAAAAGTGCAGTGTCAGTATTGATTTCTTAGAAAAGTCGGTGCAATTGCTACACGGCAGGCACAGTAAGGCCTCATCACTTTCCTCCTCTTGGCTTGGAATGGAGCCCTTTCAAACATTTTCTGCTCAGTGACCCAGAGGTTAAGGAGGCAAGGGAGGCTTTCCTCTTAACAGGGGTGGATTTTGTATTGCTCTCACCTGGCAGGGAACATGCAGTCATGCTCGCGGTACAACTTCTTCGCAATGATCTGGTAGTGAGTCCCGAGTCGTCGGCTGATTGCTTCTGACAGAAACTCCTCAGAGATTCCCTCTTGAAAGGGAGCCAAATCCTGTTCCCTCACTCTAAGAATAAGAGATGTCATTAAACACTTTAGGGAAAATTAGTAGAATGCAAGTCTAACGAGATATTTAGGAAGAAATTCTGGCTCTAGATTACATCCCACGGAACCTCCCAGTCTGCATCGAAATTTCAAGAGTTGTTCTTTCAAAAGGGAGACTTTTCCAAAGTCTAATTCCAAAATACCATTATAGATTCAGGGACAGCCCTACCATCACTTCTTGACATTTTTGCTAAGGTCAAGTGTAGTATTACACAGAGTGAGGACATATCTATGTTTACTATTTAGGTTGGTGTGGAAAAAGGAGGAAGCCATTTCACTGTACAAACGATTACATATGAAGTCCTGGAAATGATGTGAGACTTGCATAATGATTACACACACTGCAGAGGCTGGCCTTGAATTGGTTCCATGACCAATTCACGACTTCATGACTATGGAGGAATGGGGTTTTTTTTTCCTCTTCCACCTGCTGCAACGTGCATGTGCAGATTGCGGAAGTGTCTGTCCCTTAATTGATTTTACCATACAATGTGATTTACAAGTAAATCTACTGATGCATATTAAGGGCTCTATCTCACAACTTTGCCTGTCCTAGTTTAAAGCCTTTAATGTGCATTGCTGTGTGCATTCACAGAGTGTGTCATCTAAACACCACGCTGTCACGCTATCTACAAAGTGCATTACATGGTCAGTGTAGATGTGCCCTGAGGCAGCAGATACTAGATGGCTACTGGAGGGCGTCAATGGCTTTTTTGTGTTTGAGTGTCAGGAGCAACTTGAGAAACTGCAAGTCACTTCTGGTGTGAGAGAATTGGCTGTCTGCAAGGACGTTGCCCAGGGGACACTCAGATTTTTTACCATCCTGTGGGAGGCCTCTCTCAAGTCCCTACATGGAAAGATAGAGCTGACAGAAGGGAGCTCACCCCACTATCTGGATTCGAACGCCAACCTTTCGGTAAGTAGTCCTGCCAGCACAAAGGTTTAAACCATTGTGTCCCATTTTCTTTAGGCCTTTCACAGTACAAAAGTGATTCCACTACAAGTGTTGTGGCAACATTGTGGAACCCTTGGGACTGATTTTTAATGAGGCACTATATCTTTCAATCTGGGAATTCTAAATTACCTTCCCTATACTGGAAATCCCAGTTTCCCACAATATTCCCAAGGCAGTGAAAGTGTCATTGTATTGTATTAAATGACACTCAGGTGAACCCCTTCCGTTTTACACCCTAGGCTACCCAGTAGCCATTGCCCAATTTATTGTAAGTAGTAGTATCAGGCAGCAGCTAGGGCCTTGAGCCCTGGATTATGACTCTGGAGACCAAGGTTCAAATTCCTGATAAGCCATGGAAATCTACTGGGTCACTTGACAAGTCACACACTCTCAGCCTTAGAGCCCCCGGTGGCGAGGTGGGTTAAACCCCTGTTCCGACAGGACTGAAGACTGACAGGTCACAGGTTCGAATCCGGGGACAGCACAGATGAGCTCCCTCCATCAGCCCTAGCTCCTCATGCGGGGACATGAGAGAAGCCTCCCACAAAGATGGTAAAATCATCAAAACATCCAGGCTTCCCCTGGGCAATGTCCTTGCAGACGGCCAATTCTCTCACACCAGAAGCGACTTTCAGTTTCTCAAGTCGTTCCTGAGACAACAACAAAAAAATAAAGCCTTACAGTGAAACAACGGCAAAGCAAATCTTGCCAAGAAAAACCCATGACAGAGTTGCAGGGTGTGACTTGCAGGCACACATCAACAAATACAACATGAAGAAGATCCCTGGCTGTGGAAACAGGGAGAAATGCAGCCAGCTCAGGACAAAACTTCCATGCCAAGTGGCTGCATTATGGCAGCAGCAAGATTGCCATGAATTGGAAGACCAGAGCAGCATCAGCATACCTGGCCAAGAGGAGAGCATGGAAAAGTTACTTTGGGGGATTAAAACACCAATACTACCTACACAAATGGGCAGTGGTCAGCCTGGTTGGAAGATTTTGGAGGCAATGCCCTTTTAAAAAGCCTTTCTAAACTCTGGTCTCAGGTCATGCACTCCAACTGGTACAACACATGTGCATACACTGTTCTGCTTTATGTGATGCATCTGATGTGACTGTTCTTACGCTGCAGCTTAAAATGAGTACCAAGGAGATACCAGCTCAGCTGCAAGTTGCAGAGGAGAGGAGAGCTTAGGAATCCTACATGTTACCCTGATACATAGTTTTAACATGATATACCATCACAGATATTGCCTAATTTGACTGCTAACAGGTGAACATAGCACTGAACGAAACATGTAGAATATTCACAAGATGTCTCAAATCTACACCTGTTGATAAACTCTCTAAGTTAGCTGGCATTGCCTTCCCTGGTGTGCGACGGGAAGTTGCTGCTAACTGTGAGAGAAATAAGGCTAAGCACTGTGAAAGCCATCCACTGCATGGCTATCAGCCTCCTCCTAGTAGACTCAAATCAAGGGAAAGCTTCATGAGAACCACCACTCCTCTTAACGTTCCCCCAGCAACAACAAGAGTATCCCTCTGGGCAGCTAAACCAGGAAATCCCAATTGGATGGTCCCCATGAAGGTCTTCCTCCACGGGCAAACCATCTTGGAAGTCCCTGAACAGACTCAGAAGTGGAGTGGGCAGATCAAAAGACAACTTAGGGACTACATAGAAGAATCCTGTACCTAGTGCAACTGTGGAGCAGAACAAACAACTCAGCATCTGTATGCTTGCCCACAATGCCCTGCCTCATGCACAAAGGAAGAATTGTTTAAGGCTACAGACAATACGGTCGCTGTTGCGCGCTTTTGATCAAAAACTATTTAGTCACTTGTGTTCTTTCTATTTTGTATCAGTTTTGTACTTATTTATGCAATGCTTTTGACACAAAATAAATAAATAAACGGCTAACTCATCTCTACGGGAGCAGGCAAAGAATGTTTGCTACGTGTTGTATATTCAATTGTATCAGTTGTGCACTGAATCTGAGACATTTCAAACACAAAGTACTCTTTCCGTCCCATTTCCATTCTGTAAATATTAACTGAAATTTCAGAGATGCCATCCCCCTTACTTTTGATAGCAGCGACAATTTTCCGTCACACATGGCCTGTAGTTCTCCACAGCTCTGTCAATCTGGCCCAAGTATTTTTTCCACCTGGTATCTGAAACACAAACAGAACGACATTCTGAGTCATCTTGAAACAATTAAGATGTGCTTAAGTGGCTGAGGGGGGAAAGGAAGGGGCCTGAGGCTGTTAGGAATTGTGGGAGTTGAAGTCCAAAACACCTGGAGGGCCAAAGTTTGCCCATGTCTGGTCTAGACTGCCGTTTTGTATTCTTGTGTGCCTTAAAGTTGCTTCCAATCCATGGCAAACCTATCAAGAGGTTTTCTTGGAATGATTTGTTCAGAAGAGCTTTGCAGTTTCCAAATTCTGAGGTTTAGACAGTGTGATGTTCCTAAGTTCGCCCAGTGGGTTTCACACCCAATGGGGATTTGAACTCTGGTCTCCAGAGTCCTAGTCCACCACTATAATGTGTCCCTATCTTTTTTTTCCCAAGCAAGAAAAAGTAGACTGAAAAAGCAAGGAAATAGGATGTTCTCAAACAATCCCTCCCTTCCTCCCTCCCAATTGACACATGGAGAGGCTACAGAATCCAATAGCTGAGTGTTTTAGTTTCAACTTGTTTGAGGAACAAAAATAGTATTTCTTGACGCAGATGCTAACTTGGCATGGGCTAACTTCAGCCCTCTAGGTGTTTGGATTTCAAATCCCACAAAACCTAACAGCAGGCTGAGGGGGAAATGGAAAGGGCCTGAGGCTGTTAGGAACTGTGGTAGTTGAAGTCCAAAACACCAGGAGGGCTGAAGTTTGCCCATGCCTGTGCTAACAGGAAGCAGTTGGAGAACTAAACACAGCAGTTAGGAGAAAGACTTGGGGTACATCTGTACTGTAGACTCAATGCAATTTGACACCACTTTAACTGCCATGGCTCAGGACTATGTGATCCCAATAATAATAATAATAATAATAATAATAATAATAATAATAATAATAATAATAAACTTTATTTATATTCTGTCCTTCTCCCCTAGGGGACTCATAGAGGGTTACAGCATTTACATGCAGCACATAGGTAAACATTCAACACCTTTACAATCATATAGAATCATAGAATCAAAGAGTTGGAAGAGACCTCATGGGCCATCCAGTCCAACCCCCTGCCAAGAAGCAGGAATATTGCATTCAAAGCACCCCTGACAGATGGCCATCCAGCCTCTGTTTAAAAGCTTCCAAAGAAGGAGCCTCCACCACACTCCGGGGCAGAGTTCCACTGCTGAATGGCTCTCACAGTCAGGAAGTTCTTCCTATGTTCAGATGGAATCTCCTCTCTTGTAGTTTGAAGCCATATGTTCCGCGTCCTAGTCTCCAGGGAAGCAGAAAACAAGCTTGCTCCCTCCTCCCTGTGGCTTCCTCTCACATATTTATACATGGCTATCATATCTCCTCTCAGCCTTCTCTTCTTCAGGCTAAACATGCCCAGCTCCCTAAGCCGCTCCTCATAGGGCTTGTTCTCCAGACCCTTGATCATTTTAGTCGCCCTCCTCTGGACACATTCCAGCATGTCAATATCTCTCTTGAATTGTGGTGCCCAGAATTGGACACAATATTCCAGATGTGGTCTAACCAAAGCAGAATAGAGGGGTAGCATTACTTCCCTAGATCTAGACACTATGCTCCTATTGATGCAGGCCAAAATCCCATTGGCTTTTTTTGCCGCCACATCACATTGTTGGCTCATGTTTAACTTGTTGTCCACGAGGACTCCAAGATCTTTTTCACACGTACTGCTCTCGAGCAAGGCATTGTCCCCCATTCTGTATCTTTGCATTTCGTTTTTCCTGCCAAAGTGGAGTATCTTGCATTTGTCCCTGTTGAACTTCATTTTGTTAGTTTTGGCCCATCTCTCTAATCTGTCAAGATCGTTTTGAATCCTGCTCCTGTTCTCTGGAGTATTGGCTATCCCTCCCAATTTGGTGTCGTCTGCAAACTTGATGATCCTGCCTTCTAACCCTTCATCTAAGTCATTAATAAAGATGTTGAACAGGACCGGGCCCAGGACGGAACCCTGCGGCACTCCACTCGTCACTTCTTTCCAAGATGAAGAGGAAGCATTAGTGAGCACCCTCTGGGTTCGTCCATTTAACCAATTACAGATCCACCTCACCGTAGTTTTGCCTAGCCCACATTGGACTAGTTTGTTTGCCAGAAGGTCATGGGGGACCTTGTCGAAGGCCTTACTGAAATCCAGGTACGCTACATCCACGGCATTCCCCGCATCTACCCAGCTTGTAACTCTATCGAAGAAAGAGATCAGATTAGTCTGGCATGACTTGTTTTTGATAAATCCATGTTGACTATTAGCGATGACTGCATTTGTTTCTAAGTGTTTGCAGACCGCTTCCTTAACAATCTTTTCCAGAATCTTGCCTGGTATCGACGTGAGGCTGACCGGACGGTAGTTGTTTGGGTCATCCTTTTTTCCCTTCTTGAAGATTGGGACCACATTGGCCCTCCTCCAATCTGCTGGAACTTCTCCGTTCTCCAAGAACTCTCAAAGATGGTTGCCAATGGTTCCGAAATGACTTCCGCTAGTTCCTTCAATACTCTTGGGTGTAGTTGATCTGGCCCTGGGGACTTGAACTCATTTAGAGCAGCCAGGTATTCCTGTACGACTTGTTTCCCAATTTGGAGTTGGATGTCCTCAAATCCCTCATCTACTCCGTCCTGCTGAGGTTGAAGATGACTTTCTTTTTATGAGAAGACTGAGGCAAAGAAGGTATTTAGTAGTTCTGCCTTTTCCCTATCCCCTGTCAGCATTGCCCCATCTTCTCCTCGAAGAGGCCCTATCGCCTCCTTGTTTTTCCTTTTTCTACTGACATAAGAAAAGAATCCCTTTTTATTGTTTTTAATGTCCCTGGCAAGACTGAGCTCGTTTTGTGCTTTAGCACAATATAGATTGCCATGGAATCCAAACCAGTTTGGATTATTGTGAGTTTTCTGGGCTGTATGGCCATGTTCTAGAAGCATTCTCTCCTGACGTTTTGCCCACATCTATGGCAGGCATCCTCAGAGGTTGTGAGGTGAGGTCTGTTGGAAACAAGGCAAGTGGGGTTTATAGATCTGTGGAATGTTGAGGGTGGGAGAAAGAACTCTTGTCTGTTGGAGGCAAAAGTGAATGTAGCAGTTGGCCACCTTGATTAGCACTGAATGGCCTTGCAGCTTCAAAGCCTGTCTGCTTCTTGCCTGGAGACACGGCACTGCACTTTCATCCCATGCCCTTGTTCCTTAGCTACAATTTGCACTTATCCCATTCCCTTGTCTTGTTTAGGATTTGGCCATGTCTTATGGCAGTCATCACCATACGTTATTGGGTGTTTTTCTGAGTTTTAAATTGTTGTTTTTATGTGATATTGGTTTTACTTTTTTGTATTGTACTGTGTGTTTATTTTATGTGCTGTCTTTAGGCACCCAGAGAGTTTAGGTAAGAGCCCACCCTGGCAGCCTTCAGGAAGAGCCTAAAAATCTGACCGTATTTCCTTCTATGAAATATAGAAAGATAGGATATTAATATTTTGACATCCTAAATCAGTGGTTTTCAACCTCCCTAATGTCGCGACCCCTTAATACAGTTTCTTATGTTGTGGTGACCCCCAACCATTATTTTCGTTGCTACCTCATAACTGTAATTTTGCCACTGCTATGAACTGTAATGTAAATATCTGATATGCAGGATGTATTTTCATTCACTGGACCAAATTTGGCACAAATACCCAATATGCCCAAATTTGAATACTGGTGGGATTGGGGGGGGGGGGGGGGGAGTGATAATGATTTTGTCATTTGAGAACTGTAGTTGCTGGGATTTATAGTTCACCTACAATCGAAAGAGCATTCTTAACTCCACCAATGATGGAATTGAACCACACAGAACTTTCATGACCAACAGAAAATACTGGAAGGGTTTGTTTTGGAGTTTTGAAGTTGTCGTTCACCTACATCCAGACAGCACTGAGGACTCAAACAATGATAGATCTGGACCAAACCTGGCATGAATACTCAATATGCCCAAATGTGAACACTGGTCGAGCTTGGGCAAAACAGACCTTGATATTTGGGAGTTGTAGTTGTTGGGATTGATAGTTCACCTACAATCGAAAAGCATTCTGAACTGCACCAATGATAGAATTGGGCCACGCGGAGATCCCTCATGACCAACAGAAAATACTGGAGGGATTTGGGATGAATTGACAGTGATTGGGGGGAGATGTAGTTCACCTACATCTACAGAGCACTGTGAACCCAAATGGATTCCAAAACCATCAGAAATGTGTTTTCTGATGGTCTTTGGCGACCTCTGAAATCCCCTCACAATCCCCCGACCCCCAGGTTGAGAAACACTGTCCTAAATGTTTCTGCGCAACTTTGGGGCAGAAAGCAAACTTGTACAACTGTCATGACTTGTAGTTTTACAAGATCTCCAGCCTTCTCTGCCAAATAGTGCTCCTGCCTCACCAAACTACAAATCCCAGGGTTCCACAGCCAGAAAAGTCACCCTTGTCAAAACTACAGCTCTCAGGATTCCATAGCACTGAGCCAGAGCAGTTAAAAGTGGTGCCAAACTGCATTGATCCTACAGTGTAGATGCACTCAAAGAGGTTCTGGTTTTGAGGGCATGAATGAGTCTAGCCAGGACTGGACTGGGAAACTGCAAGCGTAGATAACAGATCCCAAACCAACACAGAGTCTATAAGAAGCAGTTTGGATATTCTAGTATTTTTGGAAGACAAAGTGGTAACAATCCAGAGCAACGGAGGAATTGCATTCCCTGCAACCTCCCACTGGAAACTAGCATTAGGTCGGCATTACATATCCTGCACTCACCTGTGGATTTCGCCTCCCAACAAAAGAGCAACAAAGACAAAGCAGCCACCTGCGGCACCAGCCCGGCAGTGAACTGCCCCATAGCGACGAATGCAACCACGGCGCATGCGCGGGAACTCTAGACTCTCCTGCATGCATTCGGAGGGCTCATTGATAAAAGACAGGCTTTAGCATTCCACTAGCGCCACCCTCTTGTGATGTTGCGCATGCGCACAGGTCCCGGCATTTTTCAGATTGCTCTATGGGCATTGTAGTTTGTTACCAATCCACGCAACAGCTCCTCCCATACAGAGAATCACAGCATTGGAAGGGATTCCCAATAATCCTTCCAGCTAGGCTCTGATAACTTCTAGGCAATCCCATATTCTGATTTGTTTTTGTAATACTTTTGATTGACATGGAAAAGCTTAGAAACAAAAAGAAAGTAAACTAAAAAATACAGTAGCATAATAAAATAAAATTCGAGGAAGGAAAAAAAAGGAAAGGCAACCACAGATATTGGTCCTGAGAATACAGATTGTTGTTATTATTATTTATTCATTGTTATTATATTTGCAGGGAAATATTACATTTGAACTTTGCAAGATCCATTAAAGGAGAAAAACAAATGCAGGAACTTATGGTATCAATTGAAAATAAGCACAAATATAAATTAAGTGATAAGAAGTGAATTACCAGGATTTTTCAGTGATTCTGTATATTTGTTTTATTTATTTACTTTATTTTAATCCCGCCTTTCTGCCCATAGAGACACATGGCGGCTAACAGTGGCATGCTACAATAGACTTTAAAAACAAGGTGAATACATACACATCTATCTTCTATAGCAGCATTTATCAATCTGAGGGTCGGGACCCTTGGGAGGGTCGTGAGGGGGTGTCAGAGGGACCACCAACATCAGAAAACATAGTATTTTCTGTTGGTCATGGGAGTTCTGTTTGCCAAGTTTGGTTCAAGTCCATCATTTATTGGAGTTCAGAATGCTCTTTGATTGTAGGTAAACTATAAATCCCAGCAACTACAACTCCCAAATGTCAAGGTCTATTTCCCCCAAACTCCAGCAATGTTCACATTTGAGCATATTGAGCATTTGTGCCAAGTTTGATCCAGATCGATCATTGTTTGAGTCCATAGTGCTCTCTAGATGTAGGTGAACTACAACTCCAAAGGTCAAGGTCAATGCGAACCAAACCCTTCCAATATTTTCTGTAGGTCATGTGAGTTCTGTGTGCCAGCTTTGGTTCAATTCTCTCATTGGTGGAATTCAGAATGCTCTTTGATTGTAGAAATACCGGCAACTACAACTCCCAAATAACAAAATCAACTCCCCCCCCCCAACCCTTCCATTATTCAAATTTCAGCGTAGCATGTATTTGTGCCAAATTTGGTTCAGTGAATGAAAATACATCCTGCATATCAGATATTTTCATTACAATTCCTAACAGCAGCAAAATTACAGTCATAAAGTAGCAACAAAAATAATTTTATGGTTGGGGGTCACCACAACATGAAGAACTGTATTAAGGGGTCACAGCATTAGGAAGGTTGAGAACCACATAATAAAAGTGAAAATACATATGTATGTGTGTGGCTGGGGTGCCCACTTCCACAGACAGGCTCTCGGCTGTTAAACCGATATACCTAGGTATGTCTTTGAACTGTTAGGGACAAAGATATGTCAATGCACAAAACACATATATATTCAGCATAGTTCCAGAAATGTTCCTTTTAGTTGCTCAATAAACATCTACTGTCCCTTAATATATATATGCCTTTAAATCATGCTCTGAAGAGTCAAAAATAAACAGAGTTCTTTAAAAGTAACACAGTTGGTTTACTCACAAACTTCATGCATTCAGTGTACAGGTACTTTGTATATCAATCAGGTAACACAGGGCATCTTTCTTAGAATCAATAGTCCATAGTCCAGAACATCTCTCTGTTCTGAGAGTCTAAGAGTCTCTGTCTAGTCTGAAAGCCCAATGGAGTCTCTAAGCATACTGTTCCTACTGAAGTCTAAAGCATACTGTTCTAAAATGGAGTCTGAATCCTGAACAATCCCAGTTCTGTTGACATTGTCTGCAGCCCCTCCCACAACAAAGAGTTACAGTAAAATTGCATATCAACACACACAAATACAATACAGTAAGCAATTATATACATTACAAATAACTAGTGGAGGCTTGAAGAAGGTTGCTATTTCCAACGGATTTTCAATTTTATTCTTTTGGAGATGAAAGTGGATCTTTGTGGAAACTTAAGAATTTGTATCAGTAGATAAAGAAAATAAATTAACAGCCTGGCCAAAAAAAAAAAAAAACACCCTAGTAATACCATGAGACCTATTAAGATGATGTTGAAAGCACCATCTGAATTTGAAGAGCGCTTTTACAAGTGGAAAAGTTCATCCTTCACTGCTACCTGAATGAACTTTGAATAGGAACTATAGTCTCGTTAGAGAGAAGTCTCCAACAAAACTTTAAATGAGATAATTCCAGGCAAAGGAATATCTTGCTACAAAGAAAAACAGGTTGCTCAAAGTTGAGTCAGGGGAGTTGCCCATTCCTCCAATCCCAATCTCTTGATAGATAATTAATCTGCTTTCCATCTGAGATTTTCCTACTTCAGAGTTCACCAGCTTCCTCCAACTAATCGTCCCGGGAGAAACTCCGCCAATAATGGATAATTGAGTTGCATGGGGCTCTATTAAAACTTTACAAGACAATATTTTTGAGTTCTGTAGTTGCAAATTAGCTGCAATGGGCATTGTTAAGAAGACACTGTTTGCATACGACATAAACAGTAGGGGGGCTGCGCGTTAACTATTCTCTCCAATGACTAACAATTGCAAATTCATTTTACTCAATTCAAAAATTAGAAAAGGGAGCCCTGAGCATTCATTAAGGAACGCAATTGCAGACATATCAAGACAAAACTCCAGAGATTTAGTTTTCTATTCTGACATACAAAACTATTCACTTTTTAGAAAAGTTTTTTCCCCCAATATCTTCCATTAAGATATAAACATTGCAAGGTGGTGTTTTTGGAGGACAGATAGCCTTCTCTGAAGATGATTTTACATACACACACACACACATACACACACACACAGAGAGAGAGAGAGTTCTAGTATTGATATAGACCTTGTAATATTTGCTAATGAAGACATAAAACAACTTAATTTTGTTCTCCAGTATACATATTTATGTGCAGCATTATTCCCCTGGCTGAATTATTTCACGATTGAAGGACAACCTTTTAAAATCCAAGAAAGGAAAGCCAATCTGACATTTTGGAACTATTGCCTTATAGAAGTATTCACCTTCCTTTGACTTTTTGCACAATTTTATTGTTTTACACACTGGTATTGAAAGGGATTTAATTGGCATTGTTATTACTTGATATACATAAGATACACAACATGTTTTTTTTTTCTGTGTCAGGAGTGACTTGAGAAATTGCAAATAACTTCTGGTGTGAGAGAATTGGCTGTCTACAAGGACGTTGCCCAGGGGATGCCCAGATGTTTTGATGTTTTATCATCATCGTGGGAGGCTTCTCTCATGTCCCTGCATGTGGAGCTGGAGCTGACAGAGGGAGATCACTTGCACTCTCTCCGGATTCGAACCTCCGATCTCTCGACCTTCTGTCCTGCCGACACAAGGGGACTCCTATGCAACATGGTGAAGATACTCAACACTGGAACACAAGTTAAACAAAAACACACTTGTATTGGGTTGTATAAGAATCCATATCTTTTGCCATGGGCAGATCTACACTGGTCCCCTGCACTCTGGGGAGTTGTAAATAGTTGAGCCAGTTCAGATTCAGAACTGATAAATAAATAATCATTTTTGGTCCGCCTTTGCTACCTCCTGAGATTAGGGATGTTGGCATGATTTTAATGCAGCTAGAGGGATTGTGCTTTTCCCCCATCATATATATAGTTCGCTATTCTGTAGGCCTGGTCATCATTCCCCAGTATTTCAAGATGAGAAGGAGGTATTTCAGGGCGAGAGCCCCACCTGAAAAGTGAATGTTTGCATATAGATTATGATTTTAAGAGCATGATCTGTATAGCTGTGTGTTATTGAAAAATAGACCTCAAAAGTATGAAGTATGAGACATGGCTCCATTGGGAAAGTATAACTAGCCAAATGGTTATTTCTTACAGCCCTATAGTAACTTTTATATAAAATTTCCTGGAAATCCCCCCAAATGGTACCTCACCTCGCCCTCACCCAGAGGAAATTATAATCCTCACGCAATGAACTGGGATGAATGGGAGGGGGACACACAATGCCCTTGTCCCAGAACCTTTAGGTTCCCTTTGCCTGTTTTACATGATATGAGCTGGGCTAGCCTGGGAACACTCCCTTTCCCAGGTCTCTGTATCAGACTCTTATGGAAAGACATTGACTTGGCCAACACCTTTAAGCACACTATTTTCTATCAATCCTAATACAATTGCCCACACCGGAGCTGAAGATATGGGGACCCATCCCAGACCATTATCATTAGACACACTGCATTACTTTGCAGTTGCGCCCCTCTCCAGGGCAGATCAATAAATGGACAGACACTGCAAAATAATCCAATGACAGTTTATTGAGTTTCCCACTACAACAAAAGCCAATCAACAATGATGTCAGAGGAAATCCCTGACCAACTGGGAAGCGGATGCTAGCTGGATAGTTTCAGGACCAATCAGGCGCTTGCGTGAATCTTAAATAGCTGTCACATTACATAAAAATGTTCTATATTTGCAGATGTGGTAAGTCAGTTCTTTGGAGTACTCTCTCCACTGACATCCTCTCTAACCTTTGAGAACAAACCTCTGATTTTTCATTTATCCCATCTGTGTCTCATTTGGCCTGCTGAGAAGCTAGATACACTCAGCCCCCAAACCCACAATTTAGCGGAGCTTAAATCACATAACACGTGGGTGATATTTAAAGTATCTGCCTCCTGTGACATCATTTTTGGATATAAATTTAATAAATAAATAAATGTCACAAAAGGATCATCTTTTGGTTGTAAGATCTCAAGTTCTGGGATAGTCCTGATCTGTTAGTTCTATAACAGTGTTTTTTAACCTGGAGGTCAGAACCCCTGGTGGATTGTGAGA